CTGTGTGTTTATATATAGCCACTCCAAGTAAGCCTTAACTGCATGTTTCAATCAGCATTAAAAGAATCCATTCACCTGTCTTATCACAAATTTTCTACTTTGTCTTTTTTATTTTTCTGTCAACAGTTAATGTCCTCAGCCAGTTTTATTTATGTCAGACTGAAATCAAATGACTTGGAGGATGGGGGAGGGAAGAGAGAATGAATGAGAGAGAGAGAGAGAGAGATGAGTCAAAATACCACCCCCAAACCATATCTACAACTCTGCCACCACCATCAGTAGCACTGTACAATTTCAGGTGGGAATGTTTGTGGAAAGAATGATGACATTTCCATTGTTTCTATCCATCAATTTATTTTTTTAATCATTTCACCCCAAGCAAGACAATAAAGTCACTAAGACACAAGGAGTTACTGAGTGTGAAATAATAAGAAAAAGAAAAACATTAATAAGGAGGACAATAAAAGAAGAAGAATCAAGAAGACAGTAGATATTGCATTTAAATGTTTGAAGATCAAAGTTGGTTGGAAAGTATGGAGCTGGAAGAGAGTTCCACAAGTGAGAAGTGTGAGAAAAGAAACTGTTAACAAAGAACTTACATTTACATGTAGCTATTTCAACTGTAAAATGATGAGACCTTGCTGCCAATCTAGTACTGAACTTAAATTTATAAAGTCTAGCTACCATAGAGTAAAGTTCATCAGAACAATTATCATGAAAGTATTTATAGAAAAGGCCCAGGGAAGCTGCATTACTGCAGTGGGAAAGTGATTGAAGCCGAGATGCCAGACCAGGGCCAATAGCATTACAATGCTTATTTGGATTTATCAAAGATGAAGAGTCTTTAGACCACAGAAATGTTCCACAGAAGGATGCTAAGAATACCATGGACTGAACATGTGACCAACAACAAAGTTTTCAAGAAAAATGGAAACAGAAAGGAGACTTTTACTTAGCATCAGAAAGAGACATTTGAAATTTCTGAGGTAAAAGGGGAAAGTTTGCTTAGAAAATTTGATACTCACAGGAGATATTGATGGACAGAGGAAGGCAGTGTATAAGCTATCTAACAGACTTGTGAAAACGTTTGGTAGAACAGGAATTAGCAGAGACAGCAAAAAGACAAACTTTACTAAGATCTAGAAAGGGCAGGAAATTGTGGAGAGCCATAATTACCCACGTCCTGAAGGGACAAGACAAGAAGAAAAAGTTATCACCTGTGTACTCACTTTTTGACAAAAATTCTGCTGGGCTTAAAATACCTTAAATTCTAGGAATTTTCATGTATTTTGATTTGTATTATTATTTTATAAATAAATGACGTAATGGGTAAATTGTGGCCATTTTTTATTTCACACATGTGCATTATTTGTTTATGATTTGGTCGATTGCACAGTATAGTGGAGTCAGTTGGGCATGATCTGTGAGAAAAAGAGCAACAAGACACAATTAACTCCACCAGAAAATTGGAAACAGCATGCTGTACTGCTTGGCATTCATGCCAGAAAATCCAATACAAACATTTCAGGGTGTTTGGGTGTCAATCTAATAACAATGAAGAGGATTCGGAAAGAGTTGGATGAGTCTAATGGTGATTATGAAGGTATGGCAGCTCAGAAAACTCACTCTGATTGTTCTGATAAGAAATCCCAAATTCGTTTGTGAGGGCTTCAGTGTTAACATGGAGGCCTATAT